CTTCCCTGTCCCTGTAATGACAAATGATCATGTGACTCCTAAATAGTAGGAAATTTTTTCCATTTGACTATATATAATTTTGTTTCTTGTGTTATTATGTTATGTAAATTTAATGGTATAAAGGTTATGAACCCCTAGAGGTCATCCCCACTCTCCTAATGAGCTGAAATGTTCACAATATGACTGCATTAAATTAAATAAAAGTGCATCAATGATAAGATTACATTTTATTCATGACTTTGTGTCAACCTATCTTCCTAGAATTAGGAATGAAACTCATTCAGAGATGGACCACATTAAACTATTTGTATATAAACATTTTTTTAAATGTAAAAACAAGTAGTAGTTTGCATACATGAACAAACAGGGGTCTGGGAAGGGGTGAGGGGAAGGATCGAGTTAATATTTCTTTACGTCTTAATAGTTGAAAACTCCTAAAATGAATGTTGACCTCAAATCTAACTTGTCCTCATTATTTTTCAAGTGGTGGTGTCTCCATATGAGTGAAAAATCCCTGAGAGGGATGTTTGACAACAAATAAAATGACATAAAAACACAATATTGATTTGCGTTAAGAAATATGCAGGGGATTTTTTCCATCATAAATCTTCTTCCCAAGAACAGCAAGGGCATTATTGTCCCCCATTTTGGGGAAAGGGAGGGGACATTAAATCTCATTTTTCTGTCAGTCTATCCATCTTATTTACAGCTAGTATGTGCATCTGTCACAATAAATTTAACCTTGGTCATAACTTTTGAATAATAAGAGATAGCGCTTTCATATTTCACATGTACATTACCATAAAACTTTCTAAATATACTATGATTTTTTAACCGAAGTGAGACCTTGACCTTAAAGTTTTACCTACTTTCCAAAAAATAACATTTTAAATTGATCACTTTGAAAGAGAAAAGAAAGGGCATTCAAATTATACATGTTTATTACATGTGAAAAGACTTTTCTAAATATATCATGACTTTTGACTCTGTGACCTTGACCTAGAAGTTTAACCTACTTTTCAAAAATATTATATTGTATATATAACTTTTGATTCAAAAGAGATAGGACTTTCATATTTGACATGTACATTACCTGCAACAAAATGTTTCAGAGCATGCTATGATTTTTTCCCCTTTGACCCAATTTTCAAAAATTGATATATGATAGGGGTGCATATTTGACACACAATCTGCCATAAATTATGGCATCCAATTCACTAAAACACAGAAAGCAGAGGACCACAATTCTTTGAATTTGCTTGTATAATCTTGATAGATGGAAACATCCTCATATAATGTAGATTCAAGTTTTTTATGCCACACCATGATAAGGAATACATACATGTATAGTTTTTGTCATGTCCGTCATCCACCCTTCCATCTGTCTTTCCATCGGGCTCAAAGAAACTTTCTAGATATTTTTATCAAAGTTCATATGTTGATGCATACTGATGTAAATATCCAACTGCAGCAATATTTTTTGACTTTGACTTTTCCTTTGACCTTCAATTAACTTTTCTTTAAATTAGTGTTTAGCTTTATTTTAAAGAAACCATTCAAGTTGTGTAATGAAACTTCACATGATGATACATACTGATGTAAGCTTTACAATGCTTCACTCTTTTTTACTTTGACCATTCCTGTGACCTTGACCTCACTTTTCTAAAATTAATGTCTAGATCAGTTTTGAATAAACAATTCAAGATATATTTATCAAACTTCATATGCTGATACATACTGCTGATAGCTATTAATACATCAACTTATTTTGACCTTGAATTTTCCTTTGACCTTGACCTCACTTTTTAAATTATGTGTTTATCTAAGTTTTAAATAAACCATTAATTATAGTTTTATCAAACTTCATATGCTAATAGTAAATTCATACTGATGTAAGCTTTTCAACTGCAACAACATTTTGGCCCCAACCTTTCCTTCAACCTCTCTTTTTTTTTTTAGAAAAGGTGTTAAGCTCAGTTTCATTAAACATTCAAGATATTTTTATCAAACATAACATGCTGATATGTATTAGGGAAGCTACTCAACTGCATCAAAAACTTCACCTTGCACATTCCTGTGACCTTGACCATCATCCTTTTTAATTTGTATTTCGCTTAGTTTTAAAGAAATGATTTAAGACATTTTTAAAACATCATTTTTCGACCCCCATTAGTCCCCCCGGGGCAAAATCAACATTCCAAAACCTTACTGCACATCTACATGACACCGCCAACCATCTCCCAAAAGATGATTAGCCTACTGTGTAAAATGTAAGAGGAGTTCAGGGAAGACGGGGCTTTTTGCATAAAAAACGTCATTTTTCGACCCCCATTTGACCCCCCGAGGCAAAATCAAAATTCCGAAACCTTACTGCACATCTACATGACACCACCAACCATCTCCCAAAAGATGATTAGCCTACTGTGTAAAATGTAAGAGGAGTTCAGGGAAGACGGGGCTTTTTGCATAAAAAACGTCATTTTTCGACCCCCATTTGACCCCCCGGGGCAAAATCAAAATTCCGAAACCTTACTGCACATCTACATGACACCACCAACCATCTCCCAAAAGATGATTAGCCTACTGTGTAAAATGTAAGAGGAGTTCAGGGAAGACGGGGCTTTTTGCATAAAAAAACATCATTTTTCGACCCCCATTTGACCCCCCGGGGCAAAATCAAAATTCCGAAACCTTACTGCACATCTCATGACACCACCAACCATCTCCCAAAAGATGATTAGCCTACTGTGTAAAATGTAAGAGGAGTTCAGGGAAGACGGGGCTTTTTGCATAAAAAACGTCATTTTTCGACCCCCATTTGACCCCCCGGGGCAAAATCAAAATTCCGAAACCTTACTGCACATCTACATGACACCACCAACCATCTCCCAAAAGATGATTAGCCTACTGTGTAAACTGTAAGAGGAGTTCAGGGATGCCGGGGCGTTTTGGTTTTTAAGCGTCTTTTTTCGCCGCCCATTTGACCCCCCGGTGCAAAATCAAAATTCTGAAACCTTACTGCACATCTAAATGACACCACCAACCATCTCCCAAAAGATGATTAGCCTACTGTGTAAAATGTAAGAGGAGTTCAGGGAAGACGGGGCTTTTTGCATAAAAAACGTCATTTTTCGACCCCCATTTGACCCCCCGGGGCAAAATCAAAATTCCGAAACCTTACTGCACATCTACATGACACCACCAACCATCTCCCAAAAGATGATTAGCCTACTGTGTAAAATGTAAGAGGAGTTCAGGGAAGACGGGGCTTTTTGCATAAAAAACATCATTTTTCGACCCCCATTTGACCCCCCGGTGCAAAATCAAAATTCCGAAACCTTACTGCACATCTACATGACACCACCAACCATCTCCCAAAAGATGATTAGCCTACTGTGTAAAATGTAAGAGGAGTTCAGGGAAGACGGGGCTTTTTGCATAAAAAACGTCATTTTTCGACCCCCATTTGACCCCCCGGGGCAAAATCAAAATTCTGAAACCTTACTGCACATCTACATGACACCACCAACCATCTCCCAAAAGATGATTAGCCTACTGTGTAAAATGTAAGAGGAGTTCAGGGAAGACGGGGCTTTTTGCATAAAAAACGTCATTTTTCGACCCCCATTTGACCCCCCGGTGCAAAATCAAAATTTTGAAACCTTACTGCACATCTACATGACACCACCAACCATCTCCCAAAAGATGATTAGCCTACTGTGTAAAATGTGAGAGGAGTTCAGGGAAGATGGGGCTTTTTGCATAAAAAACGTCATTTTTCGACCCCCATTTGACCCCCCGGGGCAAAATCAAAATTTTGAAACCTTACTGCACATCTACATGACACCACCAACCATCTCCCAAAAGATGATTAGCCTACTGTGTAAAATGTAAGAGGAGTTCAGGGAAGAAAAGTGTGACAGACGGACGGACGGACATGAGTAACAACAATATACCCGAACTTTCTTTAGAAAGTGCGGATATAAATATCATTAGTAATAAATGAAAATTGTAAACGTTATCATGGAGAGAAGTTACGTTGTGCCTGCTTCCAATCCTATTATATGTTTATTCATCATAAAATATTGTTTAAATTAAAATTGTAAACGTGACGTTTAAGAAATAAGTTATTTGAACAAACATGTTGTGAGAAAGAATCACGCTTGAGGACAAATTTAGGTCAATCAACGCATAAGTATTTTGCCGAGGAAGAATGGCATTTGACCGGCGGTCAGGAACCACGGTAAACATTACATAGTGCAAAAAGGTAATGTTTTAGTCCGGTCAGGAATTACATAGTGCAAAAAGGTAAAGTTTTAGTCTCCCTTCTATGATAAGATGACTTTCATGGGTATAAACCCATTCGTATGTCGATACGATAGATCACAGTGAGCTTAAAATAAAAAAAAAAATACAACAGAGTTTGTTTCGCTGATATTTTAATTAAAAACACGTTAATGGTAAAATAGCAACCCTGCTTATGATGAACGTGATGACTTTAAATTTTGATTGTTAACTCTCCTTACTTATGGAGTAATATACTTATGGAGACTGCCTGCTAGCGAGGAATCTAATTAGTACCAATAGGAATTCCGACATCTTGTTGGGTTTCCTAAACTCAAAAAGACATGTTAACTGAAACCAAGAATACACGCTGAATATATACGAGTATTGTAGAAAATCTATATGTACGTATACTTATAAAATGTTTAAAAATTATTATTTTAAAAAACAAATTTCATTTGTCAAAGCCACGCGCTCGTGATTAAGGTACTCTAACATCTTGAAAAGAAAAACGATGTCTTGAGATATCCTTTAGAATGAACAGTTCAGCCTATTTATAGGATTAGACTCTTAGCGTGTGGTCATTTAACACGTCCTGCTAGTTGTCTGTAGTTGGCACTAATGTCACTTTAACACAGTGGAGTATAGAAAGGTGAGATTTAAAATTTTGTTTAGTTTATCCTATATAATTAATGCATGTAAATTAAATTTCTCTTAAAAGAAAGACGGAAAATTCATATATCAGTATCAGTTCATTCAATTAGAGGTTGTTTAAACTTGTCCCATCTCAGATATCTTTTAAGAGGTCTGTATTTGCTCAGCTCCCGCATTTCACTGGTTTGATAAACTTTCGAGTAATTGATTGCTGTTTGCTTTCAAAGGTTATTCTTTCTGTGGATATACATGTATGTTTATCGCAATTCTGTAAATTTTACATACATTTTTTTTGAAATGAAGGTTGCAAAAAAAAAAAAAAAACCAAAAAAAAAAAAACAAACAACATTTTATTAGTGGGATTATTTATATAGCTTTTAGTATTTGTATTATTGAAATTATTTCCACGATTATCTATAAAACAGTTTTTAGAGTGTCCTAAATGTGGGTCATTTATGCGCTGTTGCGTTTAAACTCTCCTTGCCGTGCCGAAGACAAAAACTGTCACTTTGTTACAACACTTCATCATGCAGGTAGTGGAAGCCATCATAAAACAATAATTAATGTTCAGAAGGCAATTTTAGGAGAAAATGATTATGTTTCTTTTTCATTTATAAGAATTCGTCACATTTTAATAGATGCTTTTAATTATTTTTTTTACTATCAAGTCTGTGGTTAACTTTAACACGGAACACATGGAATACCATAAAATAATACCAAGAAATGAGGAAAGAGGCGTTACAGAAGAAGACGAAACTGTTTTCAACATTAGAAAAAGGAATAGTTCAACAAAAATGGTAAGTGTATAAAGTCCTAGCAACTTTATTGTCTTACTGAATAAAGCATCATGAATATTATTTTGCTGACTATTATACTTTATGCATATTGATATATAAAAAGAGCTTTTGCAATATTTACTTTAATGCCTTTTATATCATAAAAATGATCAACGTATTTCTCTGTGCTCTCTATGGGAATAAATTATTTGTTTTTTAGATAAAACATGAAAAACATGCTTTTCAAAGTTTCTTTATTTGGCCCTTTTTTGCGGGATCATATTAAGTATCAGTAAGATTATATCATCTTTAAAAAATTACCTTTCTCACAAAACTTTAGCATTATGATATTTTTGAATCGAGATTTATTGTTTTAACATCAGAAAAATGGTAATAAAACACGTTTTTGTTTTTTATTTACTTTTTTATTTTATACAAAATGTCAGATAAATGCGAGACATAGGTAAAATGACAAAATACTAGTACGCTAAAATGAATTACGTGGAGATAACGGACAGTATTCAAGCTCAAAATTCCCTAAAACAATAAAGAAAAAATAGAGGTGGGATCAGCTGCCATGCTAGAACACATTTTAACACATTTTCTCCCTTTTGTATAACTTTTTCCTTCATTCTGTCTTTGGTTAAGAGTTCTCATAGATTTTGACATCTTTAAGTAAAATGTCAACAAGAATATTGAGATTTTGAAAATTGAATTTAAATTTTAAATTTTCATGAAATATAAATAAGTTAAAAACTTCAATTTTTTACTGCTTCTGTACAATAACAAAAATGGTGCTGTTTTTCGATTGTCTTCTTAAGTCGTGTAGTTGATTAGCAGTTGTTCTTTAGTCTTATACAATGTTAATTGAAATCAAATCAAATAAAAAGATTGTGTTATTTTGGTTATTCCTCATATATTTGTTTTTATACATATTTAGGACATGCAAAGGAAAAGAATTAAAGCTTTAAAGAAGCGAGTTAGAGTAACAGCGCACAGAAGCCTTAATAAAGGGATTATAAAAAGTAGAAAACATCAAACAAAGAGACTGAAAGGTAAACATTGACAGATATTACCCTACGGTACATCAGGTAAATTCTAAATTGACTAGAAAAGCAAAATCTATGATATATTATAAATTTGAAATACATATGCACTTTTTTCTTCAGGAGAAATTTTATCCAGACAAAGTTATCCTTGTGTTGTCAGGAAAAAATCCAAATGATTGCCAGATAAGTAAGTAAATTGTCCCAATGTTAAATTTCAGTATATATCCCCTTGAGTACATACAGGTTATGACATCGTTTTGTTTATATTTAATTGAAGATCTATCATCATAACAAGGAGAACTGTTGGTTTGTACATCATGGTTTGTCTTTTTTCTCGTTTGTTCATGAAAGTGCAGAACAATAGCCAATACGCAAATTTCGAGATTATCTCCCTTGTTGCGCTCTTTCGTTGAGGAGGGCAGTTTCGTTGCCGCGTAAACAGCTGACAGGTGGGACAGATATTTATTGCATCATCGGTATACTGGTTCATCGTTACTTTATGATTGTCATGATGCACTCTAAAGTTCGTGAATAACCGAATTAATGTACAAGTTGCTGTCCTTTAAAAAAGGACTGCAATACGTGGACCATATGCATGTTTTTTTCTAACTGAAATTCAATTAAGAAAATTTCTAGGTGTAGGGAATATTCATGTAGGTTTATTCACTTTTACTACAATGATCTGCCTACTTATAACTGACTGTAGTCTCAAAGCAATTTTGTGAAATTTTATCTTTTATAAGCGACCTTTAGTTTTGTCAGTTTAAAAAATCGGGTTATTTTGCTACGTGTAACTCATACTGACTTGGACTGTTCTGGATATATACGGAAGAAATTTATCATGAAAAATAGAGATCTGATGGTTAACGAGAAGCACAGCTCTGTAGTACGCAGATTTTTTTGTCGGACCCCCCCCACACATTAAAAGCCGTTGCTACAGACCTTTATCAAACGATATTTTGTTTGCTGAAACACTAAATTATTTTCCGAGTCTTGATGCACAAAAATTAGTGCCGGCAAAAACTTGCTCTATCTTTTAAGAGCTATCTCTATTCGTTGAATGACGTTTTTATTCAGATTATTAAGTTACATGTATATATATACTGTATAACTTCTTAAGGTATCCATTGTACAAATGGGTAAAAATTTATGCCTGGAAAACCTATGATTTTATGTTCTAAAATCAAAGTATGGGTCATGACAAACTAAAAAATTGGGTCATCAGGGGCAACAACTCATTTAAGGAAGATAATTCTTGATGAAAACTAAAATCTATTAAAGGAAATCACAGAAATTGTAATCTATGAAATTTATACCATAACTAGGGCTAATTGTAACGGGAACCGTTACAGATGTTCCCCAAACGCTCCCCAACTCCCTTTTGGTGCCTTATTCCCTGTAAGCTTCATTAAATAAGACGAACTCTATGCCTTTTAGACTATAACAATGTTTTCCCAGAAGTATATTAAGTATATTCAAATTTATGCATTGCATGCGTGCGCATTTGAATGCATGTGCGTAATGACCATATCAACTTGTCTACACTATTTAAGTATTTTAATATACTAGAAATTACAGCAGTTAATAGCAAAAAAGATATTGAGATTTTTGTTTCAGCCAATCAGATTGAAGCACATGTGCATGCACGTGCATGGATGTGCATGATGACCATACTTTTTTGTAGGAGTCTATAATGTCTATCTATGCTCTGAATCCCATTATGTTTGGTTGAAAACCAAGGAAGTTATAGCCATTTAAAGTTTTAACCGATCAGATTGCAGCTCACGTGCATGCGCGTGTTTTCGTGAAAAATGTTATATATCGTACTGTAGTATATCCTCATGCATGACTGTTTTTAAAATTTCAAAGCTTTTCGGCAAAAAACAAAAAAGATAATGAGATTTTTGTTTCAGCCAATCAGAGCGAAGCGCACGTGCATGCGCGTGAGTTCGTGCTAATTTGATCATCTCACATTATCTACACTATTAATGTATCCTTATATAATGAGTTTCAAAGTATTTCATCAAAAAATGTAAAAGTTATGGCTATTTAAAGTATATCAGTCATTCCACTCATTTCACGCGCCCGCACGTGCATGCGTATGCGCGCAAAATGACCTTCGTTCCGCACACCTACACTACACACCTATTAACCCTGAAAAGGTTTTAGCTCAGTTGGATGAACAGTTTCTGAGAACACTAGCGGACAAAAAAAGGACCGGAGAACAAAGAAGAAAAAAAGAATAATAATAATAACTAGAGCAAAGCTCGTTGCAAAGCAACGAGTAGGTCTTCCGTCCTTTTGACCGGAAGTAGCTTTCATTTATAACAAAAATGAGAAATAACGCCCGAAAATGCTTTGAATCTTCTAAAGCTAAGATAATTAATGCAAAAATAAGCCATTTTTTGCTACTTCCGGTTTGACCGGAAGTGACGACGACGGACGGAAAATTAATTTTTAAGCTCCAAAAGACATATGTTACCCAAAAACTTGTCAAGAACGGCAAAAATACGCGTTTTTCGACTACTTCCGGTTTGGCCGGAAGTGACGACGCCGAACGTATTTTGACGACTCTAATAGATTAAGCTTGACATTTTGAACAACTTTGCTTTTTTGATGTATTACAAATTCTGAATACTTTTTGAGATATAAAGGGAAGACTTTCGGCCCCCTTGGCCCTTAATTTTAGGGGCCAGCCCTTTTCTCGAGATATCATTTGAAAGATCTTTAAATTCTACACTTCTTTTGTTCTACATGCTTTAACAAAATATTTCTAGGTAAAAAGTTATTGTAGAAAAGGTGTTAAAAATTTTGAAATTATTGATAGGACTATTTTCGGGCCATAGCAAGCGTCGGCGCTTCGTACTTCCGGTGGATGTGATATACGAAATTCACTTCTCCAAAGGTTGCTCTAGCATCACTGAAAATTTCATGCTTCTGTGTTAAGTGCTTTTTGAGAAAACTGCCGGACAAAGTGACCCTCTGAAAATCACTAAAACGCGGAAATCTCAAAACCGGAAGTGACGTCATCAAAACAAAAAATTGTATATCTAGTTTTTTCCATGCTCTATCAGTTCTGAAAGTTTCATGAAAATCGAGTGCGCCGTTTTCGAGAACTCGCGTGCACAAAATCGGTAAGAAAAAAAAATGATCTTCGAGAAATCTTCTGCAAAAAAATTGTAAAGAAAAAAAAAAGAATAATAACTAGAGCAAAGCTCGTTGCAAAGCAACGAGTAGGTCTTCCGTCCGGTTTTGACCGGAAGTGCCGGAACAAAAGAAAGCAATGAGCTAAGTAGTCTCCAGTGACTTTATAATTTCAATTTTGCATCAAAACCTTCAAAATAAGCCATTTTTTGCTACTTCCGGTTTGACCGGAAGTGACGACGACGGACGGAAAAATTACTTTGTGTGCTCCCAGAGACATATGTAACCCAAAAACTTGTTAAGAACGGCAAAAATACGCGTTTTCCGACTACTTCCGGTTTGGCCGGAAGTGACGACGCCGGACGTATTTTGACGACTCCAATAGATAAAGCTTGACATTTTGAACAACTTTGCCTCTTTGACGTATTACAAATTCTAAATACTTATTGAGATATGAAGGAAAAACATTCGGCCCCTCTCGGCCCCTGACTTAAGGGGCCAGCCCTTTTTTCGAGGTATCATTTGAAAGATCTTGGAATTCTATACTTTTTTTGTTCTACATGTTTTAACAAAATATTTCTAGGTAAAAAGTTATTGTAGAAAAGGTGTTAAAAATTTTGAAATTCTTGATAGGACTATTTTCAGGCCATAGCGAGCGTCGGCACTTCGTACTTCCGGTGGTTGTGATATACGAAATTCACTTCTCCAAAGGTTGCTCTAGCATCACTGAAAATTTCTTGCTTCTGTGTTGATCGGTTTTTCAGAAAACTGCCGGACAAAGTGACCCTCTGAAAATCACTAAAACGCGGAAATCCCAAAACCGGAAGTGACGTCATCAAAACGAAAAAATACATATCTAGTTTTTTCCATGCTCTATCAGTCCTGAAAGTTTCATGAAAATCGAGCGAGCCGTTTTTGAGAACTCGTGTGCACAAAATCGGTAAGAAAAACAAGAACGGCAAAAATACGTGTTTTTCGACTACTTCCGGTTTGGCCGGAAGTGACGACGCCGGACGTATTTTGACGACTCCAGTAGATTAAGCTTGACATTTTGAACAACTTTGCTTCTTTGACGTATTACAAATTCTCAATACTTTTTGAGATATAAAGGAAAAACTTTCGGCCCCTCTAGGCCCTTAATTTTAAGGGCCAGCCCTTTGTTAGAGATATCATTTAAAAGATCTTTAAATTCTACACTTCTTTTGTTCTACATGTCTTAAAATGTTTTTAGGTAAAAAGTTATCATAGAAAAGGTGTTAAATATTTTGAAACTCACAATAGGACTATTTTCGGGCCATAGCGAGCGCCGACGTGCGGCGTTTCCGGAAAAAGCAAAATGCGAAAGGCATATCTACAGACATAGGTCTATCATACCTGAAAGTTTCATGTTTCTATCTCAACCCATTTTTCAGAAAAACTCTGGACAACCCGACCCTTTAAAATTCATAAAATCGTCAATATCTCAGACCGGAAGTGACGTCATCAAAAAAGAAAAAAAACGCATAAGGTTCAAGTGATGATACATAAGTCCTGAAAGTTTCATGAAAATTCATTCAGCCGTTTTCGAGAAATCGCGTGCACAAAATCGGTAAGAAAAAAAACAATAATAAAAGTGAAAAAGAAACCTAAGAATAACAGAAAGGTCTTCCGCTGAAGACGGAAGACCTTAAAAACGATAATTAATAATAACTAGAGCAAAGCTCGTTGCAAAGCAACGAGTAGGTCTTCCGTCCTGTTTAACCGGAAGTACATGTATGTTTCATTTTGTTAAAAAAATGATAAATGAAGTGCAATAATGGTTTAAATCCTCCAAATTTATGTTAATTAATGCAAATATAAGCCATTTTTTGCTACTTTCGGTTTGACCAGAAGTGACGACGACGGACAGAAAATTGAATTTTATGCTCCCATTGACAGATGTTACCCAAAAACATGTCAAGAACGGCAAAAATATGCATTTTTTTTTACCACTTCGGTTTGGCCGGAAGTGACGTCACCGGACGTATTTTGACGACGCCAATAGATTGAACTTGACATTTTGAACAACTTTGCTTCTTTCATGTATAACAAATTTTCATTACTTTTTGAAATATTAAGAAATAACTTTCAGCCCCTCGCGGCCCTTTATTATAAGCCCTTTTTTCTAGATATCTTTTGAAAGATCATGTAATTCTACACTTCTTTTGTTCTATATGTTTTAACAAAATATTTCTAGGTAAAAAGATATCGAAGAAAAAGTGTCAGAAATTTAGAATTTTACGTTAGGACTATTTTCGGACCATAGCGAGCGTCGGCGTTTCGTACATCCGGTAGTTATGAAATACTTAGTGCACTTCTCCAAAGGTTGCTCTAGCATCACTGAAAATTTCATGCTTCTGTGTTAAGTGCTTTTTGAGAAAACTGCCGGACAAAGTGATCCTCTAAAATTCACTAAATCGCAGAAAACTCCAAACCGGAAGCGACGTCATCAAAATAAAAAAATATATGTCTAGACCTTTTAATGTTCTATCAGACCTGAAAGTTTCATAAAAATCAATCGAGCCGTTCTCGAGAAATCGCGCGCACAAAATCGGTAAGAAAAAAAAAACAATAATAAAAATAGTGGAAAAGAAATCTAAGAAAAACAAGAAGGTCTTCCGCTAGGGATGTGCGATTTTATCGGTATACCGGTATATCGCGATTTTTTGTTGCGTGATACGTATCGTGATACGGAGACCTAAATACCAGTCTTTAGGTATACATATGATAAAGTCCAGAAATTATTCATTTATTTGTTCAATCTTTCAAATTACAATTACAGAAAGTATAAAAAATGTTGTAAAAAGTGAAAAGAATGGCATCTTACCGTCCAAACATAATTGATTTTACATACATAAAAATTTCAAGAAAGTAAAATTTTGTTTTTCTAGCATATTTTTTAGAAAAATAATGACTTTTCATATAAAATCATTGTAAAAATTGCTTTTAAAAATATCATGATATTATCGTGATATTATGGGAAAAAATCGTGATATATCGCGATACGAAATTTTTGGCGATACCCATCCCTATCTTCCGCTGAAGACGGAAGACCTTAATAAAAATAGTGGAAAAGAAACCTAAGAATAACAGTAAGGTCTTCCGCTGAAGACGGAGGACCTTAATAAAAGTGAAAAAGAAACAATAGAATAATAGAAGAGTCTTCCGTTGGAGACGGAAGACCCTAATAATAATGATAAGAAACCGAGTAAAAACAGTATGTTCCCAAACTCCGTTTGGGGAACATAATAATGACACAAAAATTACTTTTATATTGTAATCTTTATATAAAATTAAAGAATAATAAATAACAAAACATAGTAAGAGTGTTATTTAAAGAAAAATAATTTAACAGGTGACAAAACGGTCATTTTGTAAATATAAAATATAAAGATATAAAATATGTTCATAATGTCATTTGCAACATGCTGTTACCATGGAACATTAACATTTCTAAAGAGAAATATTTATAAATTCATTAGAAAATTCAAATTTTTCCCTTAAATTATTTCAACTCCCCCTTTTTATACTTTTTTTCAAGTAAAAAATAATGAATATCATACTGTAAATATATTACATTTGGCTGTGTATTCTTTTTAGTGCTTTCTGTGGAAACTTCCGCTAATTCAAGTACAATGCTAAATATTTTGCAAATATACACATTAATAAGAACATTAAGTTATCCGCTAAATCATATCTATGCTAACTTGTTCAAAAATCAATTTCCGCCAAATATCATACACGCTAAATATAATACATTTACAGTAACTTAATGTACAAAATTGATGTATATAAATGAAAATGGTTTGAAATTCTGCAAATAATGTGAATTTATAATTATGTCTAGAATTTTAAAATGTACACAAAAGAATAAATTTTTTTCACTGAAATGCTGAGGTTAAAAATTGATAGCGACAGTAAATTGTATCAAAGCAGAGTGATAAACATTCAATACAGACTTTGAAAATGAATTTCAAGATTTAATGACACAATAAATAGTACTTGTGATATAAATGTAGATACTATAAGGACTTGGACAGTAATCTCATTAGGTATGTGTGATACTAGTAGATGATCCATAATACAGACCAACTTGTTTAGGTACAATTGATAAATACATGTGGCAGCAAAAAATTCATACAACTTTTAGAACTTTAAATGTTCCAGTCACTCTAGGTTTGCCATCACTGGTTTTGGGAGAAAACATAAATTAATTTATTTTCACCATCCCTGTAATAGCTATAGATCAGCTTTAGATGAGAAAATGTCATGGTCTCTGCCAGACTCCTCTTCATAAAACCTTACCAATCAGCACACACAAATACCTGTAGTTCTTTGATTTTTCAGCATAGAACACCTGTTGAAAATGAGAAATACTACACAGATGATTGTTTCATACAATATACGTGAGTCATTGAAAGCTTGCAGCAGAGATTATTCCGTCCAACTTACATGATAACATATAGTCTACTGCATGTAGTCAAATATTTTTCTTAGTTCTTACATTGATTCCCGAGCAAATTGATTGATAAACATTTGATTTTAGAGCCACCAAATTTATATATGTATCTACCAAATGATATAATAATAAAACTGTTCATACCTTCAAAATTCTTTCATGTATTGATAATAAATTTAATGTTGACAACAAGCTGTTTATCTTCTGAGGGTCTCCCAAACAGTACTGCAGATTATAGCTACAAAAAGAATAGATACAATTATATTACATGCAATTGTTGAGATGCATGAACATGTAAATGCTATTTATAAATTATATGCATTATCCAACATTTCATGGTGTCACATAAAAATTTAGATGTGAGGAATATTTTATACTAGTTGTCAATGCCTAAATTAGATAACATTAATTCCATAAACAAATATAAATATAAATGCTTACCTGTTGCAATCTGTGTATTAGTATTGATACTGAAATACTGCATCCCTTTGGATTTTCTCAGCTTTTGTCGTTTTGGGAACATCGATGCCAGCTGCAAGCAATTTCCGCACTATATGTATAAAAACCAGCTAACCCGAGTTTCACTCACATTTAATTGCTCTCTCGCTAAAGAATAATGGTCCGGAGTGACATTTTGAGCACAATATGAGGCCTCTGACCAGAACAATGAACATCAAACTCGTCATTCCAGTCATGTAACGAACTCTTACTGGTCAAAACGAGGGTTATATCGTGACACAAAAACATGCATGGAATCATGAATAAGGTTACTTCACAAGTACGATCTCCTAAAACAACTGGGCGCTCGTCAAATTATGTCTTTTCTTGAACCGTTCCTTCCCTTGCCGCTTGCGGCTTGCCGACTTTTCATGGGCGCCGCCATCTTGAATTTTATAGCCTCGGAGACATCGTTTTATTTTAAAGATGCACATTTAAACGTATTTAAACGTCAAATTTGGTATCATCAAGTTGTTTTCTTTAATTATCTATCAATTGAAACAAAAACATTTGAATTTTGGCCTTTGATATTGACTCGAAATGAAAAAGCATTTTATTCCGTAAATTACCGAGATCAAGCCGAAGTTTACCGAAAATTACAGCCTATTTGTACAAATGCTTGTGCCATAGAATTAATGTTTAGTTTGTATATAAAAGTATATGTAAAAGAGAGAAAATCGGATCTGCCAATGAATATGTAAATGAGATATGCAGAATTAAAAGCGCGTTTTGCCAATGAATGGTATATTTTCATTCGAATAGGGCGAATTATTCTACGGGAAAGTTATCTAAGGTGCAAACTTTCTAGCATTCTCGCGCAAGCGTAGCCTGTCGTTTGCCCAGGGCATCCGGTTTAATCTCGCTTAACGCAAAAAAATTATTTTAAAAGCCAAAAAATCGTAACAAAAAAGAAAATATCAGTGGATGTGAGACGTTTTAGACTAGGGAAGAGATATGCATGGACCTCTTATAAATATGATACATGTACGCATGCATCTGATCATTGCACATCGGCAATCTAAATGACATATTGATTCTTTTCCTTATTATAACTTCTTAAAGAACACGATTTTTTTTAAAGAAAATGTATGAACAATCAAGAAAATCTGTTACTTTTTATAAAGACTACAACGTTCTTTCGATTTCAAGTACCCTATAATTCAAAGTGAATTTGAAAATATGCATAGCTGAGCTTGATAAAGTCATCAAATGCATCACTGCTTAACATCATTATCTTTCTTTTACATTTAATAATTTCTAAAAGCCATAAATATCGTTTAAGTTCAAAAAGTTCGTTCATTCAAGTTTTATATATCAGTCGTGCTTGTATTCCCCACTTGTGATTCTTAATCTTTTTTTTTCTACCCAGCCTTTCATTTTTGTATTATTTGACGAACCTATCTCTGGATCCGCAGTGGAATTTTTAAGTCAGTGTCATAGGACTTTCTTTTCTTTAGGACTCAAAATCGGGGCCGGTCTTAATTTTTGTGATTTTTTTTTTAAGAAAGGTCAATAATAAATAATAAAAACTTTTTTTTTCTGATAAGTCTGGTAACTTCTGGTTTATTTCTGTTCTTATTTATCAGAGTTAAATCATTTTAAATTAAGGGAAAATAAATTTTGGCAATATGTTTCGCATTCGCCATTTACATGTACATACTTATTGTCTTTGATCATGTAAATCCATAGTTAAAAAATGGAGTAAAAACGTTTGTTAACTGATGCAATGTACTAATACTACTTAGACTGTTTGTAAAATCTATAAGGCGCGTGAAACAACAACAGTAAAAGACATGTTTAGCTTGATTGCAAATTATTGTAGATACACACACACAGGAGAGAGAGAGAGAGAGAGAGAGAGAGAGAGAGAGAGAGAGAGAGAGAGAGAGAGAGAGAGAGAGAGAGAGAGAGAGAGAGAGAGAGAGAGAGAGAGAGAGAGAGAGAGAGAGAGAGAGAGAGAGAGAGAGAGAGAGAGAGAGAGAGAGAGAGAGAGAGAGAGAGAGAGAGAGAGAGAGAGAGAGAGAGAGAGAGAGAGAGAGAGAGAGAGAGAGAGAGAGAGAGAGAGAGAGAGAGAGAGAGAGAGAGAGAGAGAGAGAGAGAGAGAGAGAGAGAGAGAGAGAGAGAGAGAGAGAGAGAGAGAGAGAGAGAGAGAGAGAGAGAGAGACCTCATTTTTTGACTTCTGTAATCAAAAAATCTTTTCGGGGTTCAATAACTTCTACCATAATCAAGCAACTAAAAGAACTTGTCGGAGTTCAATTTATACCACATGAATGGATGCATGCCTGGCTTAAGAAACCCATACCGCATATCGTCACAAAATATTGTTTTCACTCTCGAAACCTTTTAAATCATTACAGACACAAATCAAAACAGATAACCATAAGCTTGATTAATTTTTATCGCTCCCCACCATTGCAAACATTTGAAAGTCTAGACGTTTTTATATTTAAAGTTAAAAAACACGCACATACAAAATTGTCATTATTTAAACTACATTTTCACACTCTCGTCGAGATTTACGATAAAGGTTCAGAGACCTGACAAAAGGTAGGCTAAAAGGATGTAATTGGTTTTTTATTTCTGCTCTTATTTAAAGTTAAATCTATTTAGATTAGGGGAAAAACAAATTTTAGCAATATGTTTCGGATTCATCATTTACACGAAACATTTGAAGATTACGAACAGTATTCAAGATCAATATTTCATAAAACGATACAAAATAGGAGCAGAGCAAACACGGACCTGCAAACTACCAGAGGTGGGATAAGGTGCCAAGGAGGAGTGAGCATCCCCTGCCGACCGGTCACACCCGCCGTTTGCTCCTTGTCATGATCGGGAAATAACGGGGAAATCCGTCGTCAATTCAGTTTATAAATAATGGACTAACAATTAGTGTGAAGAACGTCAGTCAGCATTTGACTCAATGATGAATTGTATTTGCTGACAATGTCATTGTATTGGCCATAGAACTTACGAAATGATGACTTTTAACGAGACTGCTGATATTCTAGTTTTATCAACTTTTTGGTCAATAATTTACCTCGTTTAAAAAATGAGCATGCTCTTGCGCATCGAATTAACTAAGATATATAGATGAAGGCGATGAAGGTATATTGCTGAATAAGTAAGGGAGGTTCCAATAGATTGTTGGAAAACCTGGTCTCCAAAAACCACATAGATACATTAGATATTGTCAATCAGAAGTTCTAGCATCTTTTTATGTCAACTTCAAAGTACTTGTGTGTGCAATCAGAATGTGTTTTAACAAAAAAAAATTAGCAAATGACAAAAATAGCAAAACAACAAAATTAAAAGAGATGTTTATCTTGATTGCAAATTACAGTAGGCATAAACATCCTCAACGAGAGAGAGAGACCTCATTTTAAAGGCATCCGAACCGCATTTTGGCACAAAATGAGTCTGTTCACTCTCCAAACCTTTTAAATCATTTAGACATAGATAAACTAGATGCACCTTTTCCCTCTACGGCCATTGAAAGCATTTGTAAGTCTAGACTTTGTTTTTAGCTCACCTGAGCTGAAAGCTCAAGTGAGCTTTTCTGATCACATTTTGTCCGGCGTCCGTCTGTCTGTCTGTCCGTCTGTCTGTAAACTTTTTCACATTTTCGACTTCTTCTCAAGAACTGCTGAGCCAATTTCAACCAAACTTGCCACAAAGTATCCTTGGGTAAAGGGGATTCAAGTTTGTTCAAATAAAGGGCCACGCCCTCATTCAAGGGGAGATAATTAGGAATAAATGAAAATTTGGTGGCATATTTTAAAAATCTTCTCAAGAACCACTGTGCCAGGAAAGATGAAAATTATGGAGAAACATCCTCAGGAAGTGTAGATTCAAGTTTGTTCAAATCATGACCCCCGGGGGTAGGGCGGGGCCAAAATGGCCGACCTAAGTTTTACATAGAAATATATAGGAAATTTCTTTAAAAATCTTAATTATATAGGAAATTTCTTCTCAAGAATGACAAAGCCATAATTCATCATATTTATATGGAAGCATGCTCAGGTAGTGTAGATTCAAGTTTGTTCAAATCATGACTCCCGGGGGTAGGACGGGGCCAAAATGGCCGACCAAAGTTTTACATAGAAATATATAGGAAATTTCTTTAAAAATCTTCTTCTCAAGAATGACAATGCCATGATTCATCATATTTATATGGAAGCATGCTCATGTAGTGTAGATTCAAATTTGTTCAAATCATGACCCCCGGGGGTAGGGCGGGGCCAAAATGGCCGACCAAAGTTTTACATAGAAATATATAGGAAAATTCTTTAAAAATCTTCTTCTCAAGAATGACAAAGCCATAATTCATCATATTTATATGGAAGCATGCTCAGGTAGTGTGGATTCAAATTTGTTCAAATCATGACCCCCGGGGGTTAGGCGGGGCCAAAATGGCCGACCAAAGTTTTCAAAGATATATATAGGAAAATTCTTTAAAAATCATTTTCTAAAAAATAGCAAATCCATGATTGGTCATGTTACTACTTTTGAATGTAAACTTTACAATAAAAAACTATTTTCTACTTTTTCCTACCCTTTGTGCTCAGGTGAGCGATGTGGCCCATGGGCCTCTTGATTTTTAAGGTTACAACATCTGTACACAGTGTGTTATTTTACACTACATTTTTGCAATCTCTTTTACTTCAGAGAACCGACAAAAGGTAGGCTAAAATTGTAAACCTTAAGAGAACAATTATGTTAAAATTGATCACTTGAGCATACGTAAGAAAACATGGACGATAAATACTCAAATCTAAAACAAAACTGTCTCCACTTGTCTCACTACAAAATCATGCCCTTATTTGAAGACACACTGGTTTGTAATTTAATTGATATCGAGACAAAGTTTGAACGGTATTTCTGTACATGTACTTTATTTTTGTAGAAAATATTAAGATGTTTGAGTAAATGTGCATAAAGTCATTGATAAACCACAATTGGTTTTAAATTTAAAGATCTCAGACAACAAACGTCAAGAAATAAGACCATGTAGTTTATCAAACACTGAGGTGACAATTTCTTAATTATTAAAGCTCTTGAAATTTAGTAGTGTACATTTATTTAGCATGTAAATGAAAGTACGCCTAAAATATCTGTTGACTAAATGATTTTCTTTTTTCATAATTGTAATATATATTTTTTTCTCTATCATTTTTAATTTAGGAGCGTAGCATTATGTTATAATGTTCTGGGATTGTGGATAGAATGTATAAAGGAAATGAAATGTCAGAATGACGATCTTAAGAAACTGGTAAATGACCACCGTTCCTTAGAATTGATCCAACGAACAATAGATGTACAAATAGAGGTAAGAGCGTCTAGCTTTATTGACATGTGTTTTCCCTC